TAGCATCCTCTGATATCACAGGATATCGAACAACAAGCCAATACCTTGCAGATGTTATAGATAGAAATGAACTGTCTCCAAACAACTCCGCTAATGTGGCACAATATCTAAATCAACTTGGAGATAAAATAAGTTATTCAGGAGAGGCTATCGAAAAAATGTATCCGGTTGGTCATAGTGTTCTTAAGGAAATTGGTACGGAACTAAACTTTATTATCGAAAGTATTCGACCGGAACAAGTTCTCACACCAGAAAATGTATCATTCTTTGAAAATCGTTATGGAAAGATTATATCTACTGTTACTAAATTGAAAAATAATTTTCAAGAAATTATAGATGAACTTGATGAACTTTATATTTTATATAATGGAACATATCATCAACTTGAAAATGGAATGAATGATGTAGAACTTTTTTTTGAAAAGATAACTCCAGAATTGGAAGAGTTTTACGACATGGAACAATTGAAACGAGATCTAGGTTATTTAAAACAGACAATGAAGAAGGTTCCTGATATTCGGTACCAAATTCATCATCTTTTATCTGAATTTAATAATCATCGACAGATTTTAATTCGGTATCGTAGTGAATGGTCTAAATTATGGAGACGAAAGATAGTTTCTTTTGAGGATACTGAGAAATTAGAAGAGGTGATCTCAAGGGTTAATAGAATGGCTGAAAAATTTATGAAGAAAGATCGTGAAAATATTGAAAGAAGAATTTATGGATAATTTATAGTGATTAATGTATATATGATGCTAAGAGGAAACAAGTATATTCAAACCAAAATTGTTCAATATTACTGTATTAAAATTGAAAAATTTAATTAAAATTCGTACTTTAACTACTCAATACAATTAACTTCATAATTTTTGAGTTTATTATAAAATTATTAAATAGATTATCTTGGTGTCTCATTGACATCCTGGGTGAGTATAAATAATTAGATTAAAATTGAAAAATGTAGCCCGGCCAAATTTCATCTAAATTTAATAAATTAAAGAATGTTGACTAAAATGCAACTCAAAAAATATATTCAATAAACATACGTCGTAATAAAATGCCTTGAGAATAATGGCAACGATGACAACCAAAATGGGTATGGTCATTTTAACGGTTAAAATGGGTATGGTCATTTTAACGGTTAATGTCAATGATTGAATTCTAGTAGCATCTTTATCATAAATTGTTGGTAGAGTAGTTTGTATTTGTTGTGTGTTGGCTATTAAGGAAGAGGTAACATTCGGTTCACGAAACAAAGCCGAAATGAACTTTTCTCTACAAATAGAATTCATTTACGAATGATATTGACGATGTTGATCAGAATGGATATTTAACTGATGCAATGAATTTCTGAATTTATGTTATCTACTTATCACGTTATGTGTGAAAAAAAAAAATTCTAGTTGATATTCCTGCAATATTCCTGTTATGGAGAAAGGCATTACGTACATACGTACGTACGTACATATGCATCTAAATATATAACTGTATAAAATGCCCTTTTCATCAGTTTTTGCACGCTTAACGCTAACATTTAATTATGAGAATATATAACGAGAACTCTGAGAGCTCCTCCTCAAATGCTGCTAAATTAGAAAATTCCGATACAACTGGATATTCTAAAGAAGGTATTATTAGTCATCAAGTTTACTAAGTTTTCTATCTCTTTTGATTTAATACTATTTTTGTATCCGAAATAATTTTTTTTTTTTTTTAGCTTCTTCAACAATAAGACAGCGTCGTCGTCCTTCTTTTAATAATATTTCGGCATCTAAAGGAACGTCAAAAAACAATGATGGCAGGTCGCAAAATAATAAACAATTAACATACTATTTGGTGGCGTTGTTTGTTTTCTTATTGTTACTTATAAAAGTAAGAATGAGTCATCGTATTCAACATACTTAATCGAATAATTTATTATAAATTTTTCTGGATTATCTAAATTATATAATGTTTTAGATGCGATCTGGACAAAATATTTCTCAAGTTGAGGAAGGGCTCAACTTTGAAAGTATAACCAAGATATTTAATTCTGGTTCTGAGAAATTATCGTCTCTTGCAATTCCAGGCACAGTATTTGCATAATGTTTTCTCACCTTAATTTAATTCAATAAATTATCTTAATGTACTTATTAGCTCTTTAACTTTTATAACTTTATATTCAGAGACAAGTGATATGGGTAGATATCGTGTTATCATTCGTGATCTTGGTGTAATACTGATCCAGTTCGTATAAGAATATGTTGAATTTTTTCGTCTTTACGCCATTCAAAATCATAAGAATCTCCATCACCTGGTGTACCGTATATATCAGATGTGTCGTCAGAATAAAGGAACGCAATGGCATTGACCATATCTGATGACCAAATTCTTATTTTTTTCAGATACACATTATTAGACTTTTCAATCATTGCATGAAATTCAGTACAATCTCTATTTCGAGAATTGATTATATCATCAAAATAATAAGAATCAATCGGTTTTTGCCCTAATTGGTTTTCAGCAGAAGTAAATTTTGAATGTTGATTTTCAAGATCAACGACAGCTTTTTTCAAATATTTAATATCTTCAGCACTTGGTTTTTTTGGAACACTCTTAACTTCTTTGATAACATCTTGTATTTTACGACGGTACTCTTTTAGAAAGGTTTCAAAATTGATAAGATTCGGTGCCATCTCTCGCAACAATTTTATAATAGATTGCACTTGTACAAGCTCAGATTCTGCTCGCCTTCGTAGCGCATAATCGATGACTTCTCCTAGCCAATGTTTTTTTAAGGCCTGTTCAGCCTCACGTTCACCATCAATAAGATACTCGTGTGCATGACTTGCGCCTT